CTATTATCCAGAAGAGGTTTATTTTGTAATAATGACCGGCTGACTAAATGCTACCCTGTTAATTATACAGCTAATTACCAAATAAGTAAATAAATGGATATAAAAGAGTGATTTAAGTTTAAATTATTTTATGTCACAAGAAAAAGAGTGTAGAGTAATATAAAAGACATGAAACTATAGGAGATAAATACATAGTTAACTGCTCACTATATAAAATTATAGACTGTGACTTACTGATCAGAATCAAGTATTCTGGAATATTTCTATCATAATTTGAAAGACTGAAACACAAACTTTTTTCAGTTCAACCTCAGTGTGTCATTTATGTGTGTAAGCCCATTAAACTGGGTTTTTAACTTTACTATATAAATATGAGTATGACTTTCCATCTTTAATGTGTATTTATGGATGGTAAGTGCGTGCTACTTAGTGCACCAGGCTGCATGAATATGTGTTTGTTTACGCTGTGTGACTGATGGGTGTTTGTGCACTTCTGTTTGAGGGTGTGTCTGACCCGAGTGTCATGCTGTCACTGACTCACGCCGGCGGTCCTGACTCATCCCGCCGTCACCAGCACCGTGAGCTCGTGTGCCGCTCCGAACAATCCGGCCACACTCGCACAGTCATCGAGGAAAGATTTCCCTTTCCTCCTCTCCCTCTTTCTTTCTTGTTCTTGGTCTCTGTGACTCATCTTGGTTTCATTTTGCCCTCCACCCGCCACCCAACTCGCCTCCATTACCGCCTCCTCCCTCAATGGGTCTATATCGCTTTTCACTCGCCTGTCTCATTCCTTCGCTCCCTCTCTTTCCCTTTCCTTCCTGGCTCTGTAAATGACCTCATTTTAATGAAGCACAGTCTTGGCGGGGAGACCAAACCGCATGGCTGGAACCTCCCTCCCTCCATCTCTCTAAACCACCCTGTACTCCAGAATCTGGCTTTCATTCCTAACGCTAATAGAACCGACCGGGAAGTCTGGGAATTCTAGAGTAACTCCAAGAATTCCACGACAAATGTTTGATGGCATTCCATCACTTATGGCAACAACACCGCATGTAATAAAACTACTTTCCAAGGCTCTAGCTGCAACATTGTCCCATAAACTAGGAGAAGATTTACACTTAAAATCTGATTTAAACAACATAGGTTTTAGAATTTTTAACCTTTAAAACAAGGAATCATAAAATAAAGAAGAGATATTTAAGACACATTAAGCAAATTTGTGACCCCTACACTCTTAAAAATAAACTTTCTTTATTCTTATGCATTGATGGTTCCATGAAGAACATCCATGGAAACTTTGCACAACCATTGCACAAAAAGGTCTTTATAGTGGAATAAGATTCTTCAGATTATTAAAATATTCTTCACACTAAGAAAAATGTTTCTATTAAGAACTGTTCAGTGAAAGTTTCTTTAGGGAACTCAAAATGGTTATTCTGTTACATCGCTACAAACCTCCTTTTTTGAAACTTTAGTTTTAAGAGTGTAGAAGTCTGGACATTTTTGTGGCTCTAGCAGCAACATTGTACCATAAACTAGGCGACGATGTACGCTGGTGGGGTCCAAAATCTGAGAATGAAAAATGTAGGATTCTAAACCTGAAAATAAATAAAGTTTTAGGATTTTTTTTTAACATTTAAAACAAGGAAACACCATGACGTAAAGTAAAGGAGAGATATTTAAGAAGATTCTGCACTATTGACACTAAGCATGTTTGTGATAGCTGCATTCTTAAATTTCTTTATTGGCATTGATAGTTCCTCGAAGAAACTTTAACATCCATGCAACCTTTTGATTGCACAAAAGGTGCTTTAGAATATAAAAATATTCTTCACACTACAAAAAATGGTTCTTTCATTGGGGATCCCAAAATAGTTCTTCTATTACATTGCTACAAAACATTGCTTTTTTTTTGCAATGAAAATAACTATTTTTGCACAGACAGACTGAAAGTACGCCTCTATTGTCAGTGCAAAGTGTAAAATCCCTCCTATAAAGCATGATGGTTGTGTTATGGTTTCTGTCTGCAGCATTTATGAGGTTGTGAATGCTACCACATGCTTGCGCATCCGTCCCAGTCGGCTACACCGCAAACTCTCAGGATTTGTGGCACGCTCTAGATAGAGACATGAAAAATGAGACAGGTGCAAAACGAGTCAAAACAAGGTGGTGTTATGTGTGAGTGAACGTCTATCTAAGCAGAGAGCCCTGACATCCTCTGTTTGACATTAACTGACGGCTGCTAATTGATCTTCAATTACAATTTAACATTATAGGAACATTAGCTGAACACTGGATGGAAAAAAATATTGCTTTTATGATATTTATCACATATGACCAAGTCAACCATTAGATTTTATATTGTATGATGAGCTTGTTTTTAAGGTCTTGTGGTTCAAATCATATAAACGTTTGTGATACAATGACATAAATCAGAGTTATGTTCAGTATTTGGTCCAAACCTCAAACTTAGTTTTGACTGCCTGGCTGGAGATTTAATTCTGTACACGATTTTAGTTTCACCTTCAATGCTGGTACAATGCTGACAGCTAGTGGGAAAAAGTGTGCCATTGCAGGCTGCCCTATATTTCGAGATCTACAAAAGTACCAGACAGTTTGAAGTTTTGACCACGGAAAAAAACCTCACCAGATAATCAGATGACGTTTGATTATAGTTTTTCATTTTCGGTTTAGATATAGAGGCAATATCGGGTAATAGTCATTGGTCTCGAGATTTACTTCCGTATATGTAACGTACAAAAAAAAAAAAATCCCAAACTTTATCACATGATTTCCCGGAGATCTTGTTCGAGCCTTGGAATCTACTTTCGCTTTTTGTTTATACAGTGGCCAAAAATGTATTTAGAGACTTAAGCCACACTCAAACATAGATGCATTTCACTGCATTAGATAAGAGGCTATAAAACCAATTGGCAAGTTCACATAGGTGTTCTATAGGGTAGCCTACTAGCGACCATACAATATAATGCTATAGTGGAGTAACCACAAGTATAGTTCATCAAATCAATAATGGACATGTTAAGTTTAGTTAAGCTTAACAAGTAAGAAACTTGTGAGATTTTTCTTTAACATACAGTACGTGTTACTTGGTTTTTTTATATGCATGGTTAGTTATCTGATACTAGGAGATATTTTTGACCCAATGTATGCTAATAATTTATCAGAAAATGAAACATTATTTGCAAAGCTGACAAGTCATATGAAATGTGCCCAGGCTGGTAAATCTGCTTTGGTTTCATTCAAATGGGCAAACAAACCAGGGAAACGTCCTTAAAGTGAAAGCACTTCCAAAGCAGACAGCACAGAAAGTGCATAAAGTAGAGCTTTACACATTTTCCCCAGCAGTTTAATACATTGGATTACAGACCTACACAAAGCATGGTGTCATAATATTGTGCTTAGTATCCATAGAGACTGAGATGAAGAATGTTGTGGCAGGGAATCTGGCATCCAGGCCAAGCCACAATTCATATGCGTTTCTTTATTGCTTTGACTCACCGCCTTATTCCATATAACCCAAAAGCCTGAGGAACAGGGATAACTTTAACGTTCCTGTGGCTGATGCTTAATTTAGCTCTTCATATTTTTTCCAGCCGTAGATTTACATATTTGGGCATTCAGTTTGCACTCTGCCCAAAAAAGAAACTGATATTAATGGATTTTACATTTCACAAAAATTAGAAACAAACCGCAAGTAACACATTAAAGTAAAATGTGAAATTTTGAAGTAGAAAGACTGAATTAGCATTTTCTTGTAATCTAGTACCCCATGTAAAGGCATCTGGGGGCTCTTACATAATCTATTAACATCCATAATGCATTCTATACTATAATAGCCTACTATTTTTAAAACTACAAATATACCATTGTCAATCAATTTTGTAATTATAAATTTATTAAAGTGAAAATGTTAAGCTAAAATAGTTTTGCAAGTATAGCACACTGCTATCTAGCACAGTTCACTAACCATTTGTTTTTAAAATAAAATTGAGATATACAGTATTTGCCTGTTTACAAATCACTTTGTGATGTTTCACAAAATGTTCAATTCTCATTTGTTAACATTACACAACTAAGTTAACATGAACTAAAAAAAAAATATGCGAAAACATTGATTAATCTTGTTTAATATCATTTAATATAACATTTACTAATGCATTACAAGTAAATTTTATTTATTGGACCTGAGCTGACATGAACTAGTTGTAGGCTATTTTTAATAACGTTAACAAAGATGTTTGTAATTATAAATTTATTAAAGTGAAAATGTTAAGCTAAAATAGTTTTGCAAGTATAGCACACTGCTATCTAGCACAGTTCACTAACCATTTGTTTTTAAAATAAAATTGAGATATACAGTATTTGCCTGTTTACAAATCACTTTGTGATGTTTCACAAAATGTTCAATTCTCATTTGTTAACATTACACAACTAAGTTAACATGAACTAAAAAAAAAATATGCGAAAACATTGATTAATCTTGTTTAATATCATTTAATATAACATTTACTAATGCATTACAAGTAAATTTTATTTATTGGACCTGAGCTGACATGAACTAGTTGTAGGCTATTTTTAATAACGTTAACAAAGATGAATAATAATAGGCTAAATACTGTAACAAATGTATTGCTCATTGTTTGTTTGTGTTAATGTATTAACTGATGTTAACTGGTGAGACCTTATAGTAAAGTGTCACCACTATTATAAATATTGTTTTTCAATATACATCTGGTAATGTCGATTTGCTTAATGGCGGATTGGCTATGTTTATGAGGGCAAAGAAGAGGGAGGAGTCTTATTATTGTTTAGGTAAGTTAGGGTATTTCCAAAGGGATTGTTTTCCGCCAGACCGATGCCACAGTCTGTATAACCTCCCTAGATCAAATCCACCTAGTAACAGTTTGTAGCAATTTTACTATTGGCTGCCTGTCATTTTGAAGGCTGGGCTTGTGTAGTGCATTTAAGGTTACTGGTCGTTTACTTTCGATATTAACCGCTTTGGACCTGATAGCCGAAGCATACTCTTTTTGGTGCTCGCAACTAAATCAACAAAAATGAGAGCAATCATCACTTTCGCCCTGTTCTGTGTGCTGTACGTCACTGTACAAGCTAAAACATGTAAGTAGTTCATATTGAATATGTAGGCCTAAATACTATATCGTGTTGTTTGTTTATTGTGTTGTGTTACTCTGTTGGTTGTTTCTGATATGCAAGAGACATTTCCCAAAGGAATTATCTAAGTACATACATACTATGTATGTATCTATCTCTCTATATAATAGTCAAAGGATTTAATCAATATTTTGAAGTGATGTTTCCAAGCATTAATTTGACATAGTTTAAAAACAGTGCATCATGTCACTTAAGGTGGTTTAATTTGTATTTAGGTCTTATTGTATCGAAAAGCCACAGTTTAAAGACATTAATAGCCTTTATTTTATGGGCCTTCAACTACAGTGACTAACATTGAGAAATATAGTAAATAATTTGTATGTTACCTACTGCTAAACAGTTATTTAAATTTTTTATTGATTGCATTACCTGTTTACTGCATGCAAGTGAGGAGAAGAGAAAAGGAGAGTCGTTTTGTTTGAGAAAATTCATGAAATAGAAAATATTTCCCTCACAGTTTCCTTTGTCTAGAGTCAAAAATGTTGAAATCAATTTTTATTTGGTGATTTATGTTTATCATATTTAAATGTGTTACAATAATATTTATTTCCATGTTATCTTTGTAAACTAATATTTTAAATTCTAATTTCAGCCAGTCCCAAGGTTCAGGTGTACAGCCATTTTCCTGGAGAGTATGGAAAGGAGAACACCCTAATCTGCCATGTGAGTGGCTTCCACCCTCCTGATATCACCATTGAACTGCTGAAGAATGGCGAAGTTCTCCCTAATACTCAGCAAACTGACCTGGCCTTCGAAAAGGGCTGGCAGTTTCACCTTACCAAGAGCGTCACCTTCAAACCAGAGAGAGGAGAAGAATACACCTGCAAAGTTCGACACATGAGCAAGACAAATTCCTATTCTTGGGGTGAGTGTAATGTGTATGTTTCTAGAAGATACCTTGTGGTTTGACATTGCATGTTTATTGAACATCTCATGTTTTTTTTCTGCAGAGTCCAACATGTAAAGTTAAAACAGTCAAAGCCGGACAAAGGACAGTAAGTATTACCTTGTTTATTATTAATGGAAAAATATAGCCAAATACCAAAAAAGTGTTTTTCTACCATTAAAATGTGGCATTTCGGAATTGTAAAAATGAATAAAGAGGTGTTTTTTTTCTTTTTTTCTTAGGTTAACTTCTCATGTTTTGGACTTTTTCCATCATCTGCAGAAACCATAATATCCTGCTGTTCCAATTTTACAAACCCGCTGTTTCTCGAGATGCACTATTCACACAAATGACTTTGTAACTTCCGCGATTCATTGATTTTAGCTTTTCCTTGAGTTGACATTCTTTTTCTCCATGAGAGTAAGCATAATTTAACCAAAGTTGCTTCATGTTTTGGATAATTTTCCGGGTTCTTTTCACTGTTTCATTCCTTTGCATGTGTAAATTCTGTGTAGTACAAGCGGTAGCAGTTAGGTGATTGTATATGTAAAATAATTGGCAATGTTTATGCCTAATTTTGGGCTTTATTTTGTAATTAAATACAAATAACACAATCAATTCTCTCTTTAAAACAGTTGCAAACCAGGTATTTAATGAATATGAATGATTCAATTTGACATATTGTTTCAGAGAAAATGTCATTCTAAGTGGGGAAAATACAATTTTGAAAACCTATTGAAACAGTTGTGTTTATTGCTTCAAATAGTCTGTACTAATACCTGTACTTTGAAGTTAAATCAACATTACAGCGAGTTTCAGTTACTTGCCTATCCTAAAACATAAATGTCTGCCTAGCAACTGAGCAACCCAAGCCGGTGATTGGATTAAAAAACAGTGGACATGTAATCGTTTGCTTTCTAGGAGGCTTTTAAAAAAGTAAAATCCTCAAAGTTTTTCTATATTTTATCATAATTTGTTTTATAGCCTGAAGTGAGTTTGGGAGAAACTACAAGCAGTTTGTATCGCTCGCTATTACCGAGTCTGCCGCGCGCTGAGATAAAGTCACATGACTTCCTGAAAAACCTGTGACTGTGACGAGCCTCTGTCCTCAAGCGCATGAGCACAACTGACATCAAGTGGTCATTAATAATTTGATTATGCTATCATGAAGCTGAAATGCGGTGAATCATACTGCTGAAAATCACCAGCTTTTGTAATTTTAGAGACATTTTGTAAATAAAGATGTATGTGTTTTAATATCTAGCCTAAGTGATTGGCCTTTATTAATGCACAGTTGTAGATTGTCTGAATGCACAGTATGAAAACTTAAAATGTATCTGTTTAGAAAAACGGGCAATCATCTAGCCCTAGGCAGAGTTTGTCAAGCTAAAACATTAATTACTTTTCTGTGTCACCGTCTTAAAAAAGGAGGCCTATGATAGATTTGACAGTTTTAACAATTTCTGTTTGATTTATGTTTTGATAAGCTAGACTACTAGGCTACTTATTTTTCACCAATTCTTTGAATTTAAGTCTTTTAAGATTCTCCTGTCTCTCTATTGTAGAGCTGTAAATGAACTTTATCTCTGATTATAGTAAGAAGGATTCAGACCTTCAAAACATCTTTTAACAGTTTATCTACAGAGAAAGTATCAATAATCAACTGTATCAATTTTGGTACAACCTTATCATTGTATCAAAAGAATCTTCACATATTAATTGCTTTTTTTTTTTAGATTTTATGTTTACCTGTATGTATAGGCTACTTATTTTATTATTGTCTTTATTTTACTGTCAGTTATATATAAATTTATATCTAATACAGATGTATAATAAAATAGTTACTAAAATAAGTAATAAAATAGCAAATTATGCAAGGATGTAATAATCATCATCATCATCATCATTATTATTATTATTATATAAGTATATAATGTATTAATTATTTGCCTGTATAATGTATGAGTTAATTGCTGGATTTTTGAGTGTTTTGTTTTGTTTTATGGGTTGTCACCTTTCTCATACGTGCAAATATTCAGTTGAGAGTATAAGTCAAATTATTTAGAGGAAGTAGGTGGGGTTTGGGAATTTCCGTGTTGTAGCAAGAGTTGTCAACACAAGAGAGCACTGTAGAGTCACCAGTCCGAAAGGAATGAAACGCCTCAATCTAGTCAAACTTCACACACCTGTATCGTCAAGACTAGCGAATCATGTCAGGTAAAATAGACACGTCGACGTTCCTCTTCGACGTCCCGCCGGTGCTGATGGGGTCTTTCTGTAGACTGATGGACAGCGCGGTCGACGGTCTGGGATGGAGAGCTTTAGGTAAAAAAACAAAACGCACTTTACCATCATAACTTTGTACGACCGTTACCTGTCAGTATGAGGTTTCAGCTATGACCATCTATGCTGGATTTTTGAGTGTTTTGTTTTGTTTTATGGGTTGTCACCTTTCTCATACGTGCAAATATTCAGTTGAGAGTATAAGTCAAATTATTTAGAGGAAGTAGGTGGGGTTTGGGAATTTCCGTGTTGTAGCAAGAGTTGTCAACACAAGAGAGCACTGTAGAGTCACCAGTCCGAAAGGAATGAAACGCCTCAATCTAGTCAAACTTCACACACCTGTATCGTCAAGACTAGCGAATCATGTCAGGTAAAATAGACACGTCGACGTTCCTCTTCGACGTCCCGCCGGTGCTGATGGGGTCTTTCTGTAGACTGATGGACAGCGCGGTCGACGGTCTGGGATGGAGAGCTTTAGGTAAAAAAAACAAAACGCACTTTACCATCATAACTTTGTACGACCGTTACCTGTAAGTATGAGGTTCAGCTATGACCATCTTATCAATTACTCTCTGTATTTCTTGTATGTGGAAATGTGTCAATGTTAAATAGCCCATTGAAAATGCTGTTCAAGCCTTTTTGAACGCTGTAAATTATAATTGGTCGAAACGTAATTAGTTGGTCCTGCCAGTGCAAGATGGTCATTAGTTGGTCCAGACTAGTCATTATCTAGTCCAAGATGGTCTACCACCAACAAACCAGGTTCTAGTTGGTTGAGTCCACCAAAGGTTGGTTTTCAAACTAATGATCAGCTTGGACCAGCTAGAAACCCAGGCAGCTTAAGCCAGATGTTTTCAACAGATTTTTTTTTTAATGTATTTATTTTTTCCAAAACTGTTCTTCATCACCGTTTGATTCCTCACAGCTACTCACATCCTTCCCAGTCAGCTGGAAGTGAGATGCGTTGAAATGTACGTGGCTGCTGGGAAAAGTCCGACCCAAGAGCTCATGTGGTTGTGGGCCCAGCAGAACAAAACCGTAGGGGATCTGCTGAAGGTTCTGGATAAGATGGGTCATGCTCGAGCCAGGAGTCTTTTCCAATCACAAGGTAACGTCTTCATCTTAAGACTCTAATTCTGGTTGTTGTGTTTCCCTTTGCGAAAATGTACAGTACCATGCTAACTGTTGGCTATGCCAAAATAGCTACTCTAGTTATTGTAGACAGTAATTTACTAAATAAAAATAATTTTGAAAGGCAAAAAGAGTCTGAAAAGTATCATTTACAGTCTAATTTATTGTTGTATTAGTAGTGGCAAGTAACTACACTATAAAAAAAAATTGTTTAAACTTAAAATAATTTGTTACCCTGCTGACTAAAATTTAAGTCAACTAAAATATCCAAGTTGTCACTTACTTAACATTAAGTAACGTAAAATTTCAAGTTAACACAATTTAACAAGATTGTTCTCGTGAGTGCGGATCATAATTTCCTATACTAAGTAACTCAACAGATTGACGCACCAAAATAAAAAGATCAAGTAACGCAAGAGCGCAGTGCAAACGACGTTGTTAAGTTAACACAATTTAAAATTTTTAGTCAGTGAGGTAACAAATTATTTTAAGTTGAAACAATTTTTTTTACAGTGTAATATATAGGTGGAAACTATTGTAGGGGTTGTTTACATTTTACTGCCTCATTTTAACTTCCTCTTTTAAGTCATAGAAGCTACAGTATCTATACCATATAGCATTATTATAAAGTATATTTTAATTTAAAGAGGAAACTGACAAACCTAAATATGACATGAACTGTAGTGAAGCAAAACAAAACATGTGATTTAAATAACCACAGCTGTGCATGTAAACCGCAGTGCAGTTCTAACAATCGTATCACCCGCAAAACCACAATTCATCGGCACACAACTGAAACTGCTAGTGATACTGCTATGAAACCACTGTATAACGAACCTTAACCAAACATATTTAATTATTTTCTAGACTCCTGCATGCTGAAGTCATCCTCGCCCACTCTCTTTGCCACGGTAATGTCTTTTTTGATTCTGTTATCAACCTACAGATTTTTAAAGCAGATGCTGGTCAGATGCTTGACTTTATTCTGGTTTAGGCGTGTTAGAATACAAAAAAATGTGCAGTCGCTAAATGAGCAGTTTTGGTTTTACTTATTTAGTTACATTATGTTTAGATATTATGTTTTCACATTCACCCTGTATTTTGTATTTTTAATTTTTTAATCAGCATCTGCCAAACACTGAGGAATCCTGTCAAATCTCACCTCTTAATCCAGAGTCTGTTTCTGTTAAAGGTAATTTGTACAAGTGCATTTAAAATTGTTTTTCACTGTGTTTGTGTCAGTTAGCATTATTGTACATGTAGCTGTGTTCAGTACTAACTGTAGCTGTCTTAAAGGGGTCATATGATGCGATTTCAATTTTTCCTTTCTCTTTGGAGTGTTACAAGCTCTTGGTGCATAAAGAAGATCTGTAAAGTTGCAAACACTAAAGTCTCAAAACCAAAGAGATATTCTTTATAAAAGTTAAGAGTTAACCACACCCTCCTAAAACGGCTCGTTCTAACACGCCCCCACATACCTACGTCACGATCTGGGAAAATTTGCATAACGCCGCCCAAATGTTCACGCAAACAAAGGCGGCGTAACTTTTATTCTCGCTGTAGTATTGTTGACGCTGCAGCCATGTCCTGAAGACGCTGTGTGCTTCGTTGTGAAAGCGAAACTACATCAACTTTCACCATGGACAAAGCGGAGTCCAGCCCGCCTCAGCTCACTCTATACAGGCCTCAGCGCACGCTAAGCCGGGGCTTCCCCTCACGCTAGGCCGCTGTGTTTTTCGTTGCCACTGATGATTCAAACGCGAGTTTTGGGCAGTAGAGTAGCACTTGTTGTTTGTCATTTCTCCAATCACAAATGCAGACAGAGTTTTATGTTTACGCGGCGCGATGCAACGCAACGCGTAAAAAGACAGTATAAGTCATTATAATCAGTAATTATGTCCCCACTGGATGCAACAAATGCCTCGTTTGTAATGGGTTTTAATGTTTATGTCTCGTCGCTCCGGCCGGACACGGCATCAACAGTATGGTGAGGGGCGTAACATTATCGTCTCATGCTTGAGGTATTCGGCCAATCACAACGCATTGGATAGCTGGCCAATCAGAGCACACCTCGCTTTTCAGACCGATTAGTTTTGTAAAAATCGACGCGTTTCAAAAAGGCGGGGCATAGAGGAGAAATAATAATGTACAGTATGTGGAAAATAATGCGTTTTTTAACTTTAAACCGCATAAACACATTTCATTACACCAAATACACAAAATCATGTTCTTTTTAGCAGCATCATATGACCCCTTTAATAGATATTAGGTGGAAATTTCCATTTCTACTTTGAGTGGTTTCATAAGGATATGAGAATTAAACCTTATTTGTCCATCTCAGGTGAAAAACAGAAGTATTTCATCACATATAATGACGTCATAGAGGGAACGAGACATTTCCACCAGGACTTAAAAATCGGAGCAAGTGCATTCGCCGAGGTCTACTGCGGAAAATGGGGAAACGGGTCTTTTGCTGTGAAAGTTTTTAAACAGGTCATAGTCTATTAATATCTCAAAACGTTACGCAAGTCATCTTTTTACAAATTGTGCGCAGAGCAAGTACTGACCTAGTGTTAATTTTCACATCTTTTTATTTATTTATTTATTTTTTACATTAATCGGCCATTCGAATTTACCATTATAATTGTTTTTTTCTATTATTATTATTATTATTATTATTATTATTATTATTATTACATTAATCTGCCATTCTATTATTGTGTTTTTTTCTGGCAATTGTTCTATTATATATTAATAATAAAACAATATAATAAAAAATAAAAGACCATTATAAAATTGTTTATTATTATTATTGTTATTATTACATTCATCTTCCATTCTATTATTGTATGTTCTTTTCTGGCAATTGTTCTATATTAATAATAAAATAATATAATAAAAAATACAAGAACATACTACTACTACTAATAATAATGTACTAATTATTTAATTAATTGCTGGACATTATTTTACTATAGAAAATGGGGAAACGGATCTTTTGCTGTGAAAGTTTTTGTACAGGTCCTAACTAATTAATATCTGATTTCACATACATATATCATGCTGTTTTGAAAAACACTGATCGCATTTTGTATTATTTTAACAGGGAAACAAAGCTAATTGGAAGGCATTGTGGGAAAAATTCACCAAAGAAATTGAAGTTCTACAACTGTAGGTTCAGTAAATGGTTGCTTGATAATATTCCAATGACTTTTCAAATGGTGTTTATCATTTTTCCATGAATCTCATTTTTGCCTGCTTAGCTACCAGCATCCTAATATCTTGGAGTTATGGGGCAGCTTTTCAGAAGCAGATCGCTTCTGTTTAGTTTATCCGTACCTTCATAACGGATCACTGTTCCACAGGCTTCATGAGGTAAATCATCTGCCAGCAAACTGTAACATGTTTCATCATAGCAGTCTAAAGTTGAAGTTTTTTTATACTCTTGTCACAGGAAGTTCAGAGGCCTCGATCATGGCAGGAAAGGCTGAACATCATCAAAGGCACCGCAAAGGCAGTCAACCATCTACACACTGCACAACCGTGCATGGTTATTTGTGGAAACATTACGAGGTGCCAGTGTGAAGCCATATCTACAGCTTCTAGATGCCCAGTGAAGATGATGCATTGAAATGAGCTTGCTTTGTGTTGTGTTGTTCACAGTTCAAACATACTCTTGGATGAGCACCTGCAGCCCAAATTATCAGATTTTGGATTAGCTTGTCTCAGACCTCACTCTGTCGACCAGAGCTGCACTATAGTCATGGATACAGCTTCTCATAGCAACCTTTGCTATCTCCCAGAGGAGTACATCCGTGATGGCAAGCTGTCAGTCAAACTTGACGTGTACAGCCTTGGCATGGTGAGTGCAGCATCCTGTTTAAAAAATGATATCCGGAGCCAGGTACAATTTGTACAAATAAAGATTTATGTCTGCATTTTAATGCTAATGATTCAGCTGCAGAATACTGGCTATTAAAATTTATTTCTCATTTACTATTGGCCTGTCATATATATATATATATATTATACATACAAGAAACTTGAGACAGATTGACAGATCATGTGACACTGAAGACTGAAGTAATGATCACAGAAATAAGTGATATTTTAAAATATATTAAAATGAAAATTATTATTACTACTACTTGTTTTAAATTGTAATATTATTTAATTATAAATAGTATCATTACTATTTTCATTACATTTTATTTGTATAATTTCATTATTTAATGACTTTTTTTTTTTACATTTTGAGTTTTTTTTTTTTTAATCCGTTGATATAATTCATACTTTACATAAGGGATAGTTCACCCAAAAATGAAAATTCTGTTATTAATTACTCACTCTCATGTTGTTCAAACCCGTAAGACCTTTGTTCATCTTCAGAACAAAAATTAAGATATTTCTGATAAAACCAGAGAGCTTTCTGACCCTGCATAGACAACAACGCAACTACCACGTTCAAGGCTCAGAAAGGTAGTAAAGACATCATTTTATTTCTCATTTACTATTGGCCTGTGATAACTGGCCCAACATAATTCAGCTTTTTTTTTTTTTTCCTTACATTTCTTAAAAATTTTATTTTTATGCTTGTAGGTTATATTAGAGACATGTACTGGACAGAAGGTGAAACAAGAGTCAAGAAAAAGCCTGTTTTTGGTAAGAAGTAAGAATCTACTTGAGGAATAAAAAATGTTACTTGCCAAAACAATATAGACATATCACTTTAAAAGGGATAGTTCACCCAAAAATGAAAATTCTGTTATTAATTACTCACTCTCATGTTGTTCAAACCCGTAAGACCTTTGTTCATCTTCAGAACAAAAATTAAGATATTTCTGATAAAACCAGAGAGCTTTCTGACCCTGCATAGACAACAACGCAACTACCACGTTCAAGGCTCAGAAAGGTAGTAAAGACATCATTAAAATAATCGTGGTACTGTCGTGGACACGTGTTCATTGGCACAGAAGAGAAGAAATTGTTGAATAAAGTCATTATTTTTGTTTTCTTTGTGCGCAAAAAGTATTCTCGTAACAAACAGTGATGTCACATGGATTATTTTAACAATGTCTTTACTACCTTTCTGGGTCTTAAATGTGGTAGTTGCATTGCTGTCTATGCAGGGTCAGAAAGCTCTCAGATTTCATCAAAAATATCTTAATTTGTGTTCCAAAGATGAATGAAGGTCTTACGGGTTTGGAACAACATGAGGATTAGTAATTAATGACAGAATTTTCAGTTTTGGGTGAACTATCCCTTGAATATAATTGAACTTCGCCTTTCACTATCTAATGCCATTGCATTTCTTTAGAGAGATGTACTGCATTCAGAGTTTGAGGAAAAAGGCTCGGTGGATGCCTGTCTGCGGTTTTTAGATCCCAAAGTTGAGCACTGGCCTGCTGCTGTGGCACTTTGTCTGCTCCGAATCGGATTAGAGTGCACAGGCAGCAAAATGCGAGTCAGGCCGAGCATGGAAATGGTTTGTAAATATTCTCATTTATGCAAACATGTACACATATAAACTTATATAAACTTTATTTTATTCCTCTTCAGGTGCTTCAGAGACTAAACCAACTTCTTCCCATGCCTGCACTGCCTGAGGACCAGCCGCACACTCTAGATGATACAGTCCCTCTTCAGCAGCCATACAATGGCCACAGTCTGCGTCTAAGTTTCCCCATTGAAGTTGATGAAATGTACAGCCCACTGGAGGAACCGCAACCTCACAGAGTTCCCAATCTGGCAGAACCCTGCGAGTGCAGCCAGTCTGAGGTCACTTTCTTGAGTGTTGGAGATCCCAACTGGTCGCATTCCCTCAGGGAATGTCTTCAGGAAAATGACAGAGTGGTTTCAGCATCACAAAGTTTGCAGTCAGACTCTGCAGCTCGTCTGGACTTATATGGGAGCTGGCCTGTGGAGTGCAGCTGTAGCACTGGAACCGAAGCGCAGGGGTGTGAGGACTGCTGTGCGAATGGCTTCAGTCAGTCTGTTTTATATGTAACTCTAGGCAAGTAGAGGCAAGGGAGCATTCACAGAGAAATCTGTCTAGAAAGTGTCAAACTTCTTTGTCAGTACAAACTAAATTATGTTCAAGCAGGTTCAGAATTAATATCCAATATTTTTCTTTTTTAGATGATGATGCCCAGCCCTCTCAGAATGGCATCTCAAATCCAGCAAAAGAGAAAATAAGGAATAAAATTCATCTGTACAACCAGGGGTTAATAAAAACTGAAGAACTTCTTTCGCTAAAGTCAGAGTGATTCAGCAATAGGTTGGATATCTCCACAAAAAAATAAACTCTGGGATTTTTATCAGCAGTGGGGAGTGTTGGAGCTCATTTTGTTTGAACGTTTGTTTGTTTGTGCTGCTTTTAAAAATATTTGAAGATATTTTAACTGTATTTCTATATTTATCTGCTTATAAATATACATAACTTATTCCCAAACTGAGTTTTTAACATTAAAAAGAAGATAAAAAGTGGATGTGAAGATGCTACCAAAAGGATTAAAAATATTAACCACAATATATTTTACGCAGACCTGCAACTACTGTCACTTTGGAGGGTGGAGATAATAGTTTATTTTAGCCTGTTACTTCTTTGTAATTCGTTAAAGCAATTATTTCAAAGAGTACGATCTGTCAGAAACACTTCCCGGTGTTCCCACTTCCTTATAGTGCCTACAAATCTCCATGCTTCAGTGAAGCTCTCTAAGTTTGTTTTTGACGACTGGATTAATTGAGGAAACACAAGGGGCTTTTGATCTAATCTATGTACGTACAAATGTTTAAAATAATGTACAATGTTCAAACCATAAGTAAAGAAACAAATTAAACTTTACGGAGACTTTTATTTTGGGAATATGATGCAGAATGATCTGAAGCCGCGGTCACACTAGACTTCGAGCATGCGAAATTCGTTCGGACGGTGCTGCGAAATATCCTCACTAGTTATAATTATTTTCTATTTAAGTGATTACAATCAGTCACACGTATAGTTAATCAAGTACACACAGAATGTCGCTGCGAACGCGAAGTACCTTGCTTGAACAAACCATAACTGGTTACATTCTATCAAACGATGTGGATGATACGGAGCCCCTAAAGCAGGGGTGCCCAAACTCGGTCCTGCGCAAAAGTTTTGCGAGGGAACGCAAAAGGGAACGCAAAAGTTTTGCGAGGGAACGCAAAAGGGAACGCAAAAGTTTTGCGAGGGAACGCAAAGTTTCTCGAGAGAACGCAAAAAAAAAAATCCTCCCACCCCGAATTTTTTTCCCACCACCATGTCCCTTTGGGTGCTCCGTAGGATGATGACGTAGAAAACGAAGATGAAAAAGAGGAAGTACAGACAGAATTTTTGGACATGAAGGAGGTGAACTCAGTCTCATCTGGAGGAAAAGTGTTTAAGTTCTCCGTGCCGGCGTACAAAGAAGGTATATTAGGCTAACTAATAAACAGACAAACTTTCAAAGCAGCTATATGCTGTTTAACCCATTTGTTTCCTAACTAAACAATTTTTGGCTAAATGAAATATATATTCACACTGCAGTCTTTTGTCTGAAGTCTTTCGATTGTCATAGTAAGAACACAAATGTGTGGTGGTTCAGCGTATAAGAGTTGTTTTAAAAACTTAAAATCGGTTACGTTTTCAATGCTAAATAAATAATAACAAGTTACTTAATTGTAGTTATTTAGTTCTGGTCAACCCCCCGCCCCGCACCCACCACCATTTAGTTAGTTTACTTAACATTCTAAGTAAATTAAATTAATTACCAAACGAATACAAATACCAAACCAATTCGATGCACAAATATGAATTTAGTAAACCTTGCCATGTAATTATGTAAATGAAAGAAGTCTATAATGACATTCCCAATATGTTTTAAACGTTTTTTTACAATTAAAATAAATTCATGGAATATGATGCATTTGATTAGTATTATAGTATGATAATTTACAATACTTCAGATAGAGGTATACGACATTTAAATTTTATCCATATTTTATTGTTTTCTAGACGAATGTTTGCTGATGCCATTATTCATCTTTTTAAATGTATGTTATGCAATAGGCCTAAATATTTAGATTATTGATTGCTGTCTTTTTGATAACATTAAGAAAAGACAAAAAGGTAAAACGTAGTTAGCCTAATTATTGCTAAATAATGACGTTACCATGTTAATGGTGGAGTTGAGGGGCTCATTGGCGCCCCTTCAGCTGGTGGTGCTCTAGGCAACTGCCTAGTTCTCCTATGCCTAGAAACTTATTTATTATATTTAGAGCGTACACTTTTATAAGTAAAAGTAACATAAAATTTACATTGTTACATGTTAAATTCTCTTGCTGTTGCATCTCATACCTGAAAGACAGACTAAGCTGTTGCAATTGTACATCATTTTCATTTTTTGCAGTGTCATTCATGGCTTATAATGAGACTGAGGGTTAGGAGCCGTTTTCACCTTTGTGATCCGTGGTGGGAGGTAACCTGCACAGTTCGCCGTGGCAATAAGCGCAAGTTTTCTACCATCCCCTCCAGCTATCCCTCCTACAGTCTCCGCACCAATCTGAGTTCAGAGGACCAGTCACTTGTGTCTCTTTTTCTTAAAGCATGTGGCGCAAAACCCGGGTTTGTTATGAGCTTTATGGACTTTTTGTCCAAAAACAGACACGTGGTGGAGCTTATCAATGTGCTGGATGCGCTGCAGGATTTTGAAGATTCAGCACCAAAGCATAAAGCTGTGGCTAAAGAGCTCAAGTCAAATGTCATTAACTCAGGTTGGACCACTCATCACATATTTTCATAATACTTAGAACAATTTAGCACTTTCAATAACTTATTGAAGGACCACTCCAACGTCTGCTTAAGTAGATTGTATTTGAAGTGATCTGTCCACCTTATTCTTCAATGCTGAAGTAAGCTTATGGGCGAGACTTCTAGTTCTTTAGCCACTATAGGGAAATAACGAGAAGAATAACAAAGTGATGTAAACGGTAAAACTGGTTGCACTACAAACCAGTGTGTTCATAATTAAGATAATATATTAAAATAACATTGAAAGACACAACAATTTGCAATATCAAGCAGCAAAACAAGCTGTTTTGTACAGCTAAAAATAGCTGGACGCAGATGAGACCGGAAGCCAGACCCATAAAATTTACAAATGGCTGCGCCTACTCTTACGGAAAAAATAAGGTGGATATAAGAAAATATTTTGTTACAATTTAAGAATTTGACTAAAATATTTATCGTAAAATAAAGACTCATAGTGTCATTAGAATGTGAAAGAATAAAAGTGTGTGTGCCGTTACCCCGGAAACCCTGTAAACAAAGCAGCTGCACTACTTTCTTTTTTTGAATCGTGTTTAAATGATTTAAACAGTCATTCAGATTTGTGTATTTGCTATGGTGTTCATCACAGTGCCAAATACTTAAATATTTAGACTTAATAGGTTATTTATTTTCAAACTTTTTTTACATTTTAATCTGGACTACAACATGCCCTAGATATTGTTTGAAAGTGTTTTGATTCTTTATTGTTCGGTCACACTTTACATTAGAGCTTCAGTAGTTAACGTTATTTAATTCATTAGTTAACATAAACTGCCAATGAAAAATTCTTCTGAACATTCATAAATCTTAGGTAATTACAATATTTAATAACAGGTTGTTAAAATCGAAAGTTGCAACTGTGTTATTTAATGAGCTAACATGAACTAAGACTTGTATTTTTTAAACAAAGATTAATAACTTCTGTAGCAAATGTAGCTATTGCTCATTGTGAATGTTAATGCATTAACTAAGGTTAACTAATGAGGTCTTATTGTAAAGTGATACCTATTGGTCTTTATAGTTCTTTTGCACTTTAATCTGTGTAAAACTTTTAACTTTATAAATTTTTCTGTATTGCTTTGTTGCATTTAAATGTTCAGTTATTTTTGTTATAAGAAAAAAGTTATTAAACCTGTTATACTGTATTATGACAGCACTTTTTTTTAAAACTAAATTTCAACACCGTGATGATACCGTATACCGCGATAAAAGCATTAGCAATTAATCGCAACATGAAAATTTGATACCGGCATATCCCTAATATATATATATATATATACTGTATATATATATATATGTATGTATGTACACACACACACACACACATAGTTTTAAAGTTATAATACAAAATGTAAAATAATTAACATTTTATTAAAATAGAATTTGCATATAACATTATTAAAATATATTTTAGTGATGTTATGTAAAGATGAATTGATATATTTATTACACTCCTTTCAAATGATTAAAAATGTGTATCTTCAGTTAGATTGTTATATAAACATCCTGTAATTAATGATTTTTACACAAATCAGTTCTTTGTCGATTTCTTATCTGGCATGACTGTTAAAAATGATATTACTGTGCTTGTTGTTGTTAATTTTGTCCTGAAAAACAGTTGCTTGGACACGTGTGAGAGTTGCCAGAAAGTACCCTCAAATCATGAAATACTTGCCAACATTGTTACCAGGCCAGTTTATGGACATAATAAGCAATGGAAAGATGAAAAACTCACAGGATACCACTGAAGAAACTCCAGAGCAGCAGAGTAACACACACGTATTGGAGAATCTGGAGCAGTTAATTAAGACTGATGTTTGGAAGTTGGGCTTCAACTATGTAAGCACAAAGCTGTCTTCTTGTTTTTCTCCAAAATCCATAATCTGTTTTTTTTTTTTCATCCACCTCAGTCCTTCAGCCTGCTCTACTTGTCCGTCTATTCAAACTTTAAGCTTTTAAAACAGTTCACTTTCAGATAAAGCTTTCCTTCACTAATTTTTGGATGTTGCTGAAACATTTTTAATAAATATTATCTATTGTTTGGTATCTTTTTTTATCTGGTTGTTGTCTCAATGTTATCGTATTTCTGACAGATCATGTTTAGAGAATTCCGTATGATCAGATGTGAAGCAAAGCTTGAGGCTTTTGAGGCTTGTAATTTGCTCAGCCGAATGACTGAGGAGCAGCGTAACGGCTTACAATTGTATGCGAGGCTGAAAGACTACTGCAGAGATACTGGCAGCACATACATTGAACAGAAGATGCTGCTGGAGAAAATGCAACAGTGGAAAATTTAAGATGCAGGGTTCTTGTTCCTTCACAAGCATGGCGTGCTGATACAGGAGAACAACAAGGTGGCACTTCACAACTTCTTCAGCTACGAGAAAGGCATTGTTGCATGCTTGAGGGCCCTGATTGAGGGAGAACCCTGGATGATCCACTTGGATGTGAAGGAGGTTCTTCAAAGAGCTGCAGTGGAGAGATTAAAGGAGATGGCCTGTGATGACTTAAATGACTCTGCTATAGAGTTAGACAAGGATCATGTGCGAGCAGCAGAAATTATATGTGCCAACCCGGTGACGGTGATCAGTGGGAAGGGTGGCTGTGGGAAGACCACATTGGTCGGTCTGGTGTTTAAGGAGGCCATGGAGAAACAGACCAGCAAGAGTGACAGTGATGAAAAGCCTCCTATTGAAGTTCTCCTCACTGCTCCTACAGGGAGAGCTGCTTCAATTCTTACTAAAAGAACCGGCTGCACTGCTTATACTTTGCACCAGGTATAGCCACATTGCACAAGTACAGTCAAATAAATGTTCATTTGACTCCTGCATGATGTTCCTTTTTGTGTGTGTTCATCTTTTTCAGGTTTTATGGAGCTTCATGAACAGAAAAAAAGAAGAAAATGGAAATCTTCAAGAATGGAAGTTCTCGAAGGTGCGGGTGCTGGTGGTCGATGAGGGGAGCTTGGTGTCTGTTCAGTTCCTTCACTCTATTCTCAGCATGCTTACCAAACACGCAGAACTCCAGAAGTTCATCTTTTTGGTTAAAAGCAAATTGCATGTGTAACAGATTTCAATAATGGAAATAAACAGCTGTATTTTGTTCATTTTGTTTTGTGTCTGCAGGAGATGTGAGACAGTTGCCCAGCATTGAGCCTGGAAACACACTGCACGATCTGTTTGAAGGTCTCAGGAATGTCCGGTGGGCTATTGAGATGTGGACCAACCATCGTGCCGAGTCTGAGCTCATCGTCAGAAACGCTGGACTGTGAGCAGATAGTTTGTACTCTAAACATTTGATTAGAAAATAAAGAGCACTTTATTTTACAGTCCTGTTCCGCATACTTACTATGCACTTATTATAGCAATTACAATAACTGGGTAATAACTAGGCACTAACCCTGAACCTACCCCTAAATCTAACTTTACTTTTGGGGTATGTACACTTTAAGTACACTGTAGGTACAAATATTAATGCTATTTCTTGCTGAATCCTAATAAAAGTTTAGTACTCATACACAGTGTTGTTGTTATATTTTTATTTATAATCTTTCAGCATCTCGGAGATGGGTAAGAAAAGACATTACAGTCCTCTGGAGTTTGATGCCACCATAAACATGACAAGACCCTCCACAGTGCCATCTGACAAAAGGTTCATTTTTGTCAAAATCAGTGAGAATCATGATGGTAAGTGAGCAGTTTACAACATTATGACATGTTATAATTAGAATGACATGAAATGTTTTGTTGATTACTGTTACAAACAGAAACCGCTCTAATGATCAAAACTGGTATTGAAATATTTATTTGATGTGCATTTTCAATATATTTTTTGTTGCTTAGCTCTCCAGGAAGCCATTAAATTCTTACTCAAGGAAACTCCTGGTCTCAAAGATCATAAATCATCATCACATCACATTTATGAGGTAAGATTTCATTCAAAGGTTAATAAAAGAGGTGATATCCTTAAACTGCTTCTCATGTTTACATTTAAATCATCTTCGTTGCTCAAAGGGAAACCTACTTGGAAAGAACCATATGTAAACAGTATGTTGCTCACTGATGAGACGTTTTGACACTAATCATATTTAAAACTCCCAGTCTGGCCTCCTGTCACTTACAACTCAAAAACTTGCATCGCAACAAATGAATGGTAACCTAGAATTATTGCTGTTGCTTACAGGAGGGACTGTCAGTTGATCAATGAGGTTTGCTGCAAGCATTATTCAGGTCATGTTACAAAGTAAGTAAAATCATAATACTTTCAATTTTATTGGTTCCCTTTTTAACAGTTTGTATACATATTTTGTTTCCGTTAGGACTCATGAAAATAAAATATACTTTCAAGTGGGGGATAAAGTTTGCTGCACAAAGAATGGCTTTATCTCAGAAACAGATAATGAGAACATGCAAGAAGAGCCTGCACATGATGTTGCTGGAACTTCCCAAGATATTCCAAGTACCCAAAGAAAAAATGAACAGAAGGAAATGAAAAAAGAAAGAATGTGCAATGGGGAAATTTTCTTCATTAAAGCGGTGAAGTGTTTGGAAAAATGTCTTGATTTTAAGTTTTATTGTTTTTTTTTACAATGCCAAAAAGTCTTTAATCTGAAATATCCGATGTTAAAGTAAACTGACATCAATTTCTGAGCAGTTAGAGTAATTACATGAATTTGATTGGTGCATTTTTATGATATTTTACATCCAATCACAGGATGTAACTGAGGAGAATATGGGAGCAAGATGCAAAACAAGACACTACTTGACCCTAGATGATGAAAACAGCCATGTGGTGACTTCTAACTACAATGAACTACAGAAAGAGTGTAAACTGCGCCATGCTTGGGCAAGAACCATTCACACCTTTCAGGTCTCCAGTTCACACATACACTCTGGATGCTCTTTGTTTAAGAATTAACACCTAGTATTAGCATCTGTCTCTAATCATGTTTTGTCTTCACTTTAGGGCTCGGAGGCTGAAACAATTGTGTACGTTCTTGGAAATACCTTTGTTCAAAACTGGCAGCACGTATACACTGCAGTGACGCGCGGTCAGAAGCGTGTGTATGTGGTGGGTAGAGAGCATGATCTAGCAGGAGCCATTGAGAAAAGGATCACCCCTCGTAACACGCGATTGCGTGGCCGTGTCAAGGAGATTGTTGCCCAACAAGATTTTGAAGACTCTTTCACTCAGTCTGATTGAGCGAACTAATAAAGGTGACAGAGTAAAACATCTGTAAATGATCAAAAGTACATTGATATTGTTTTTAACCTATGACCTACTCTTGCTCTAGCAAACCGCTTCAGAAGAGCCTCCATTGGAAAGCACAAGCTGAAGCTCCAAATCTCACAGCAAGGAGCTTCCCTGACAATTCCTTATTCAAGATCTAATTTAAACCAGTGCAAATACAAAGTCTCAGGATGTTGACTTTAAAACAAATATGCTGTAAATTGAAAGAAACTATTTAATACTCTGCACTATTTCTATTTCAGTAATCATATAATCAATTTTCTTTTTATTATTGTTAACTTTCTGAAATTAGGTAGTCTTAAGAATGCGTTTGTATAACTGATTATGCTATTGACATTATGATTGGCACTGTCTCCCCCAGGTATTTGAATATTCCTGCATGTGATAATTATATGCTTATAATGTTCCAAATATTAATCATGTGAGTTTTTTGTGTTAAGTTTGAATTATGCTTTTTATTACAATATAATATATTTGTTCTCACCTCTGCATCCACTCTATTCTACTTTTTGACTGGATATTCTAACGGTTTTTGATGGCATGTTTTTATTTTATTTTTTATTATTACTTCACATTTCAGCACAATTATCAGTTCACAATGAACATTAAATCAATATTAAGAATGATTAAAATAATTTATGTTGATGTCTGTATTAATCACATTTCAAATACACTCGTTCACGTTATTATCTTTGTGCTATTTTTATTCTCCCCTTGGTTTGTTATAAAAATATAAGTTGCAGCTGCAGATTTATCGAGCTTGAAAGATTACATTTGGGACCAGAAAGAAAATGATAATAATTACATATATAATTATTAGTTTAATATAGGCTTATTTAGTTTTTGTTTGACCTTTTTTAAAAAAAAATAATATTATACAATACGTTTTGCATGCAACTAATAAATAAAAATGAAATACATTTCTAAACTTCTATAAATGCATTTTAGTTTTTTAATAATATGCCTGATACTTCTGTTTATTTTTGACTTGTTAGTTTAGTGATTCCATTGACAGGAAGCTGTAAATAAACTGATCGGACTTTTATTTTGGCGTAATGCGATTTGGGTATTGTTGACTGTTTACAGTCACGAGTCAAGAAAATGAGCCGCGAACTGTCGAAATCTTCAAACATGGCGCTGCAAAGTCCCACCGCCGGATTAAAAACCATAACTGGTTACATTTTACCAGAACGTCACGTTGTACAGTCAAGCCAAGAAGATGTTTCAGAAAGTGAAGATGAAGAGGAAACACAGCCTGAGTTTCTGGACATGAAAGAGATGGATTCTGTTTCATCTGGGGGAAACATGTTTAAATCTTCCGTGCTAGCGTCAAAAGAAGGTAAAACAACACATTTACTAACAAACATTTGTTATTCTTTGATTGTGTATTTGTTTAATGATCACAAGGTGAGAAAATGAAACCGTTTTTGTTTTAAACATAGCTGTGGATAGAAAATACATAAAATGTTTTTTACAGTTTACTTCGCTAGTCAGGTAACCATGTTTACGTTTTACACGGTTGCAGGTAACATAGAAACCATGTTTATATTTTGCATTGTAATAAGAAACAAAGTATCCATATTTACATACGACGTTTTTTATGTGGTAAATTTGGGGTAAAAGTATTCATCATAAAACATAACAAATGTTATACTTTTTGTATTTTGTATTTCATAATGTATTTTCCCGTGGACTGTTATCTTCTTGTATGACATTTTTTTCGCTTTCAAACACGTTTGCTTAATTTGTAATTTCCTCTCTTAAATTGTTATTGTAATTTTTTTAATTGTAAAACAATTTTATTTAAAAGCTCTTCATTTTTATATTTTGAATAACCTGTGAACACCAAAATAATCATGGCACATCACTGACCTGCAAGTAGTGATAGGTTTGTATATTATTTACTTTGTTACAGGTATCTTATTGTACAATCTAACTGTTACAAGAAAACGTAATCATATGTAAAGGTTACGTAGTTACAAAGAAGCCTGTTTACAGTTTTCACTGTTAAAATTAATCTTATTTACAGATAATGTTGTTATAAAAAACGTTTAGTACAATTCACACTGTTATGTCTAAATTCAGTTCAAATCAACTTGTCATTTTGTCTCACTTCTTCAAGATAAGTAAAGCTTATTTGTACTCTTGTCACTTGTATTATTTTTGTTTATATACATATAGTATTTGCTTAGGGACCAAAAGGCCTCATGCTTGTCTTATCATCTTCTTTTGCAGTGCCATTCATGGCCGGTAATAAGACGTATCGGGTTGATGGCCGTTTTCCCCTCCATGATCCCTGGTGGGAGGTTACCTGTACAATTCGCCAAGGCCGGCACAAAAATTATGTCAAAGGCTTCCCCTCCTACAGACTCCGCACTGATCTGGGAACAGAGGGCCGGTCACTTGTGTCTCTCTTTCTTAAAGCATGTAGGGCAGAACCTGACTTTGTTAACCTGTTTATGGAGTGGTTGCCCAACGACAGACATGTGGAGCCTGTCAATGTGCTGGACATCCTGCAGGATTTTGAAGATTCATCTCCTGAGAATAAAGCTGTGGCTGAACAGCTCAAGTCAAATGTCAATCGCTCAGGTTGGAAATGTATACCATGTTTACTTCTATAATTTGTAGTGACACGTAAAGTGATTTTTGTTAGAATATTAAATTTTGCAACAATTCAAAACATGTTTTGTCGTAAAACAAAGACAGAAGACCCTGGGCACAGCCAGACCTGAAGTAACTTCCTAGAGCTTAATCTGATGCCTGAACCTTAAATATACACTTCTGCATGCATAATGAATATGAAAAAGTGATACTGAAATCATAATCACATCCCTGTTTTTTAAACAAAACAGCGGCTTGGACACACATGAGAGTTGCCAGCTTGTACCCTGAAATCATGAAATACTTACCAACATTGCTGCCAGGCCAGTTTATAGACATAATAAACAAAGGAAGGATGGAACACATGCCAGAAACTTCTGAACGAGATGATTCTACTACAAAAGAACAAAGCAATGCAAATGTCTTGGCCAAACTTGAGGAGCTCATTAAAACTGATGTATGGAAGCTGGGCTTCAATTATGTAAGATGGCTACTCTGGTTGTTTGGTTTTAAATCTTAAGCTTACTTTATTTCCTGCATTATTTTGTATTGTTTAATATGAATATGTATCAAACTTTTTCAACAGATCATGTTTAAAGAATTACATCTGGTCCGGTGTGAAGCACAAATGGAGGCCTTCAAGCTCTGTCGTTTATTTTGGAGTATCCCAGTGCTGCAACGTAATGCCTTGCTGTTGTATACAGAACTGAAAAGACACTGCAGAGCCACTGGTAGCACATACGCCGACCGGGAGCGGCTGGAGAAGAAGATATCGAATGAGACGGGACATCCGGGCGCCTGGGAAGCTTTACGTTTTCTTGTGGAGCAGGGGGTGCTTAAAAGAGAAGGTGACAGGGTGGCACTTCGGAACCTCTTCGGCTATGAGAAAGGCATTGCCGAATGCTTGAGAGGCCTGGTTGAGGGAGACCCCTGGAAGATCCACTTGGATGTGAGAGAGGTTCTTCGCGAAGCTCAACTAGATAGACTAAGGGCGAAGGCCCGTGAAAAACACAGTATGACTCATTCGAGGAAATCTAAGGCTGACGCAAAAACGTCAGTCTCAGAAGCACAAAATGACATTGTTCAGGAGGTTAAGGTTGAGCAGATGGATCTTGCTTTTCTCCAGCCTGGTACTTCAAGCGTGGTCCACCACAATGGAGAAATGACAACATGTGATTCTCCTAAGTCCTATGAAATTACAAAGCTCACCATTAAAGAGGAAAGTGTATCTTCAGACTCAGACTCCTCAAATGACTCCACTTACTTCGACATTGATCCCTCAACTATAGAGTTAGACCCCGATCAAGTGCGAGCAGCAGAAATGATGTGCGCCAACCCGGTGACCGTGATCAGTGGGAAGGGTGGTTGTGGGAAGACCACAGTGGTCAGCCTGGTGTTTAAGGCGGCCATGGAGCAACAGACAAGTGACAGAGAAGAGATGCTGAAGGCCTGTGAGGACTTTCAGAATGACTCCCAGGAGTCCAGTAATGGGCTGCTGTCAGATGTTCACGAGGAGAAAAAAGATAATGAAGGTAGTGACAGTGATGAAAAGCCTGAAGAGGTTCTCCTCACTGCTCCTACAGGAAGAGCTGCTTCACTTCTTACCAAGAGAACCGGTTTCACTGCTTATACTATGCACCAGGTATAGTCTGCGTAACCTAACATAACTTTACATTACATAGAATTTCCTAATATAACCTTACATAACTTAAAAATTAAAAATTACATAAAAACATAAAGAGTAAAAAAATACACTAGATACAATTTAATAACAACTTTACATGGCTTAAACAATAGATGACATAACATTTCAAATCTTACTTCTGCAACATAACATTTGATAACATAGTGTTACATAAAAAATTGTACACTACATAACAATATACACACATTTACTTAACATAACTTTAGAATACATTTCATACATCACACTTGTACAAGGTTTGTCAGTGGTTAATGCACTTTTGCTGTTTTAACATCTGTTTCAGTTGCTATAAATACCTTGTATTAGTTACGTGTATTATGCAAAAATCCCCTTTCTTTTAGGTTTTATGGAGTTTCATGAACACAAAAAAAGATCCAAGTGGAAATCCTCAGGCATGGAAGTTCTCGAAGGTGCAGGTGCTGGTGGTCGACGAGGGGAGCTTGGTGTCTGTTCAGATCCTTCACTCTATTCTCAGCATGCTTATCAAACACGCAGAACTCCAGAAGTTCATCCTTTTGGGTAAAGGCATATTGCATGCATAATATTTTCTTATTTAGGGCTTTTTTGAAATGTATTTTATTGGCAACATTATTCTACAGCTTAAGTACTTCCTGTATTACTAATAAACAAACAAAAACATTTATTTGTGTCTGCAGGAGATGTGAGACAGTTGCCCAGCATTGAGCCTGGAAACGCACTGTACGATCTGTTTGAAGGTCTCAGGAAGGTCCGGTGGGCTATTGAGATGCAGACCAACCATCGTGCCGAGTCTGAGCTCATCGTCAGAAACGCTGGACTGTGAGCAGATAGTTTGTATTCTTAAATGTTTTATGGGGTTATATAAATTTATACAAACTTCCTCATTTTAGTTCCTTTGTGGTTTGCAGACTGTTGTGTGTGTGTGTGTATGTGTGTTTATGTAATATGGACTCAAACCTTTATTTATTAATTATACTGTTGTTATTTCCATAAACTTTCAGCATCTCAGAGATGGGTAAAAAAAAATATTACAGTCCTCTGGAGTTTGATGCCACTGTAAACATAATGAGACCCTCAAAGTGCCATCTGACAAAAGGTTCATTTTTGTCAAAATCTGTAGAGAAAATGATAGATTTGGTAAGTGAGCAGTTATGAAATATGTGAACATTTTGGATGTTTTTTTAGTGCATTTATTCTTTT